GGGCTTTTTTTCTTGACATGGTACTCATCTCTTTTTCTCTTTGAGGTTTTCTTTTGTACAATATCTACAAAATAGAACATTAAAAAAAAATTAAGACAAGGCTTATGTAATTAGCATAGTGGAACAGATGTGAACATTCACAGCATTGCCATAGATGTGAATGTTCACAGTTGTGTGCATGGGTGTGAATGTCTACAGTTTTGTGCATGGATGTGAATATCCACATCTGTACATGGATGTGGATGTTGTCTGTGTCAGCACAAACACAATGTGCATAGTGTATGAGTGTGTAAAAATCAATGTATGTTTATACAACCATGAACAACATTCAAGAACACGTGGATGTTAACCCAAACATATAAAAGGATGTTGCGAACATTTACAGTACTAATTTGTATGACAATGCACATATTTATTACAATCATGCAATGCCAATTTTATAATATAACCTCAAACTTGAAATACAATTTCAAATATGGGATAACAAAAGTGATATATTTCCTTTAAACATAGTGGTTAATGTTCACAAAGTGTCTAATTAATTTACACATGTAATGTTCAAGACATAATTATGGCCTTATTTGGGAAATTGGCTATTTTAGTAGGCTATTTTAATTTTTGGCTATTTTAATAGGCTAAAATTTTGTGTTTGAATAGATGGTTGAATTTCTTGTAGTTGGTTGTAATGTTTATAAGAGAAAAAATGAAATGATTATGGATTTGACGTAACATTTTGTCTTATTATTTATTTTGTCTTTTTGTGGATTTTAGCCCAATAAAAGCTAAAACCCAACTTGCCAAACAGGGCCACATAACACTCCAAAAAAAATTCTTAATCTACTTTTTCCAAACGTAACACTCTAATGTAACACACAAAAATATTCTTAGTGTATTTTTTTTCCCAAATGTAACACTTCAATCAATATAATTCCAAATATAACATTCCAATGTAACACACTTTAATGTAATGCACAAAAACACTAAAAAACTTCTTAGTTTACTTTTCCAAACGCAACTGTCACGACCTAAACCTGCCCCTATAGGTTTAGTGTCGTAATCGGCCAGTAATCCACGATTACAGAAGGCCTAACTGAACAAGACAAATGAACGGGGCTAGTAGAAGTTATTATAAAAGAAAGTATAACATCTAACGAGCTGTGACCTTACTAGAAACAAAATGTAGCCTTATGCAAATATATATATATATATATATGTCAGTATATCGAGGTATTATAAATCTCTTATAATTACAACACAACCAAAAGAGACAAGTCATTCCCATCACCAACAACTATAACACCAATGACAACCGATCACAACAGGTGTGAGAGTGCCAAAAGAGGCAGTCACTGGGTCAGCCAGTGCTCTGATAAATGGGAATCTCGACGAGAGGCGCAAAAGGTGGCTTGACCAAAATGGAGGCAAGATCGTCAGCTACATTTCCTCATAAACTGGATTACCTATATATACATATATACAAATGTGAGATAAAACCCAGTGAATAACGACTGAGTAAAGAAACTCTGAATGATGATTATAAAGTACAAGAAAGTACATACTGAGTAGGTTCGTATTACATGTGAGAAGCATACTAAAACACTTGATATATCCAAAGGCAACAAATACAAGCGGTCTAAAAGACCGAAGATTAGATATGAAGGCCAACATTATGACAAACAGGAGTTCCATGAAATGGAACTGATAGAGATTCTCTGTAATCATATGAACAGGTGCCAGAGTTGTCATGGTAACCAACGCAAACAGGAATAGCATCATCATTCATAAATATAATAAATATATTGAAACAATGCATAAATTGAAAGCAGAGAAAAGGTAATTTAAGTTAAACATATTTTTACAGTAGTGTTACTTACAGGGGGTTCCGTGATGCAGGTGACTGGAACATGATGTTTGACCTACACAGACAGATACAAGTGTAACACACTTATTTTGTCATACACCTAACCAATTAGTTTCATTTCTTAAGAAGTGGTTGGACTAAATGTCGTTTACTCTTTTTAAAAAATTCACTTTTAAAAAAATTATACTTTTTCGTTTTTCGTATTTTTTATTTTCACTTAATTTTTTTTAATATTTTAAGTAATTTTTTAATTTTTAAACACATCTAATATAAATATACTTAGAAAGTATAATATTTGTGAAAAGAATCTATAAAAAATTTACTAATGATCAAAAATACAAAAAAAAAAAAAAAAATTGAAAACCCAATACATTTTTTGTATTTTTGTATATTTATTAATTTTTTCAAATATTTTTCACCAAATAATTTACTATTTAGATACATCTAATTATGTACATTTAAAAAAGTAAAAAAATTGCATAAAATTTTAAAAATATTCATAAAAACAAAAAAAATACAAAAAATAAAATATTATATTTTCAGAAAACTGAAACTAAACACACTTCTTTGTGTTATACACTGTTTCCTTCAATGTGCCATCCATCCGCCAGATTGGCAGATTGAAAAAAAATCAATTCGCACCCGTCCGCCAATTCGGCGGATGTGGATTGAGTGGATTGGCGAATTGACGGATGGATACAAATCAGTTTGTCGGTTTGAAATTTTATAGATTTTTAACATAATTCAACTTTTGCACTTCCAAAAAAAAAAAAATATTACAACCAATGACTTCAAAAAATATTACAATCACTGCACGTATCATCTAAAGAAAGAAAGTTTGAAATTTTAGAATATTACAATGTCTCGTCCACATATTACAATCACAGCATGTCTCATCCATATAAAGTATTAGAATATGTGGTTCTTAAAGTATAAAAACAATTCAAACCACCAAAATCATGAACAGAGCAGTGTAGAGATTGTATGCCTCTGTATTGTTACACTTATATCTGTTTTTGAAAACAAAAACCAACCAACATATATCATCTTTTTTTATTTATTAGTTTTAGAGTTAAATTTAAAAATAAAAAAATATAGAGATTGTATGCCTCTGTATTGTTACATCTATATCTGTTTTTGAAAACAAAAACCAACCAATATATATCATCTTTTTTATTTATTATTTTTAGAGTTAGATTTAAAAACCAAAAAATATAGATAAATAATACATTTATTTGTTTCAATTCAAAAATATATTCAAGTTGAAAACTCTTTTTTCAACAAAATATTTAAATTCTTTTTCAATTGAAAACACAAATAGAATATCTAAATAAATTGAAAATATAAAGTCTTACAAATTACTAGGGGTACTTGCGGTTTGGAGGTTCGGTTGTAGCCAAAGGAACCTCATATCCTCCATATGTCCAAAATTAGGCGAATTGAAAAAAATCAATCGGCAACCGTTCGCTCATCATCACATATCCGTCCAAAATACGACAAATCGATTCAGTTCGGACGGATCAGTATATCCCGCTGCTCACCCCTAATGATAACCATCCAAGAATTAACAACAAAAACAACTATCTATTACATGATAACCATCCAAAAATATCAACAAATATAATTACTTATTACATGATCATCATCCAAATACATACTAAAAATTAATTTGGTAAAAAAATAAAAAAATGTAAGAGCTTTATCATTTTTATATAATTTTATCTTTGTTAAGTAGAAATAAATTTAAAAATAACTTATTGACATTTATTTTTATCAAACTAGTTTATATTTTATTAAGTTAATGATTTTACCCTTGAAATTGAGTATTTTTTGTTTACAAAAGAAATGGTAACTTCAATTGTTCTTATTTAAAAATGAGATTCAAAATTTATAATCAAATATATTACAATTGAAAAGTTAGGAATTAAAGTGACACAAATCTCAAACTATATAAACCATTAATATAATTTGCCCAATAATTAAATAGTAAAAAACATAAGTAAAATAACCAAATTTTCAAAGGGAGCGATCACAGAATTCACTTTTCAAAAAATTATACTTTTTCGTTTTTCATATTTTTTACTTTCACTTAAATTTTTTTTTCACTTAATGTTTTTAATATTTTAAGTAATTTTTTTAATTTTTAGATATATCTAATATAAATATACTTATAAAGTATAATATTTGTGAAAATAATCTATAAAAAATTGACTAAATACCAAAAATATAAAAAAAATAAAATAAAATAAAAATTCATTACATTTTTTTTTTGTATTTTTGTATATTTATTAATTTTTTAAAGTATTTTTTTACAAATAATTTACTATTTAGATATATTTAAGTAACATACATTTAAAAAAGTAAAAAATTACATAAAATTTTAAAAATATTCATAAAAACAAAAAAAATACAAAAAATAAAATACTCTATTTTCGGAAAATTAAATTGAGAAAACTAAAACCAAATAGACTTCTTTGTACTATACACTGATCCCTCGACAGAGCGACTCAACCATAACACCGCGAAACACCATATCAGTCTTCATCTCTCTGAAAATTAATAATTTTTTTTTTTTAAAAAAAAATCGTCATTAATCTCACTCTTTTAATCTCTCTTTTTTTTTTTTTTTTTTTTTTTTTTTTTTTTTATTTAATATATATACTTTAGTGGGATGAATGATGAGGATCATGTGGGGAAAGATATATTCTATATGTTGTGTGGGTGGAGAATAAAGAAAAAAAAAAAAGAAAGAAAGGGAATCATGTGGTTGAATTCTGAATTGTTGCCTGGGTGGAGAATAAAGAAAAGAAAGGGAATCATGTGGGTCGATGGCGCAGAGAAATAAGAAAGTCGCTCCAACGTTTTACTTTCTGAGCCCACAAGGAGGCTATGATGGGCAAACACGGCCAAGGGCAACTAGATGCAAGAGTATCCAAAGCCGGGCCAATCAGAACCATTCATAGAAGCAGGCTTCCAAATAACCCCGAGTTACTTCAGCTGAAAAGTAACTTACAATAGTAGCCATGGATGCAGGAAGAAAATCAGCAAGATCTTTGAGACCCGAATCCATGACCTAGAAGGGCACCCACACCACCGTTGCTCGAGCTGGGAGTGGAATGTAGGCCAAGTGTGCATGTGAAGCAGAGTCTTAGGAGCTGATGGTGGTCATCTTGGCCTGAGTGTCGAGCATGGCGACGACGGCGTCGAGGCGAGAGTTGAGCAGATCGAGTCCGACAGCAGAGGCGGCAACGTTAGGGTTCAGGTGCGGTGGTACTACCGGCCGGAGGAGTCGATCGGCGGCCGCCGCCAGTTTCACGGCTCCAAGGAGTTGTTCCTCTCCGATCACTACGATGTGCAGAGCGCTGATACGATTGAAGGAAAGTGTACGGTTCACACATTCAAGAGCTACACGAAGCTTGATGCTGTTGGCAACGACGATTTCTTCTGTCGTTTCGAGTACAATTCGTCCACCGGGGCATTCAATCCTGATAGAGTGGCCGTGTATTGTAAGTGTGAGATGCCTTACAACCCCGACGATCTAATGGTCCAGTGTGAAGGCTGCACTGATTGGTTCCACCCAACTTGTATAGAAATGGTGGAGGATGAAACAGCGGGTATGGATCTGACCCGACATGGTGGGTTTGCATATGTGTATCAGTATCATGATGAAGATGAGTCAAGGAGCAGCAGCTGGAGCCTCGGGGAAGAAGAAGGGAGCGATGTTCGTGATCGACTGTGCGAAGCCGGTGGAGGATAAGATCATGGAGATCGCATCACTGGAAAAGTTTCTCCAGGAAAGAATCAAGATCGGCGGGTCAGAGGGAAGAGAGTTGGAAGATGCAGAAAACTGAAGGTATGTGTAAAGGTCCGGCGGGCGGCCAAGGCGAGGCTGCCGCCCGCCGGTAAAAAAAAAAAAAAAACCACTGTTCCGGTCAACCGGCAGGACGATCGTCCAGACATTTGGGAAAATGATCGAGTAGACCAAAATTGCTCTTTTCAAAATTCAAAATTCAAAATTCAAAAACTCATTGTGCTGTCAAATAGGTTTTTAAATAAGTTTTGAAATGTGACTTGAAATCAATTTTGGAAAACTTAAACCAAACAATGTGTTGAAAATAACTCTGGAATTAAGATTCCAGAGCTATACCAAACACAACCTTAGTTTTCTCTTTTTTTATCTTTTAGTAATGTTAGAGGTCTCAAATGTTTTACCAAATGTCTTATATTGGTGTGGGACCCACACCATGTGGGTCCCAAATGAGTCCCACACCTGTGAGACATTTGATAGAATATTTGGTAAAACATTTGGGGTCCCTAACTTTACTCTTTATCTTTTTCCTATTACAAGAATTTCTAATGGTGCAGTATTTTTGTTCTATTTTAACAAAATAAATAGGCACGTTACATATAAATTGCTACAAATTGATCTAACAGTATTTAGAATTTACTATGCTAAAATATCACAAAATGCTTTGACAAAATGTTGTTTATTATAGAAAATTGTTGAAATGTCCAAGATAGAAAGGATATAAGGCATTAACTTCAAATTTTTTATCTATCTGTTCAATTTTTTTCTATTCAAAATATTTATCTGTTCAATTTTTTCTATCTGTTCAATTTTTTCCCTTTATCTGTTCAAATTCTCAAACATACATAGATAAAAGGACTTCTTATTTGTTGAATTTTTTTATCTATATATTCAAATTATTTTGCTATCTTTTTTTTATCTATTCAATCTGCAATCTGTTTAGATATGTTTGTCTACTGAGAAAAGCTAGAGCAAGAGAGAAAATATCAATTTAAACTTTTTTTTTATCTGTTAAACACAGATCTATTCAAATTTACACACAGATCTTATCTTTTTGTTTTATATCTTCATCAACAACAATAACTACAACAACAATCTTCAACAACAACTACACAAAAAAAGAAAAATCTACAGATCTACCAAAAAAAAAGATCTGGAAAAAAAAAGTAAATCCTTCACTGATGAAAGTAACTCATAGATCTAAACTACACAAGTTTCAACTTCATTTTGGAACAGATTTTTGAATCAACACAAGTTATTTTCAGAAATATGTTCAACATTCTGTTCAATAATTGCTATGAGTTAAAAAATCGAGCTAGGCTAGGGACTCCAAATAATCTACTAAATTTTTTGCCAAACCTTTCACATGGATATGAGACCCACACACATTTGAATTTTCGTGGGTCCACATCTATGTGAGAGGTTTGGTGGAAAATTTGGTAGATTATTTGGGATTCATAGCATTTCATAAAAAATCTGTTCAATAATTCCTACGGGAAGATCTTCGAACTAGCTTCGAAGTAGACAATTACTTGAACTCTATATGTGTTTTGACGTAGAAATTAATTGAAAAGAAGAAATAGCTAACTCAAAGCACAAAAGCTAAATTCGAGGCTTTCTTCATGACTTTCATAAGAGAAAACAACAAATAGTAGCCAAAAGAGCCTCGAGTAGTCAATCCTTAGCATAATCCTATCTATCTCCAACCCGACACTGAGATTGTGGGTGATTTCTCGGTAATATTGACCAAAAAAGAATATTAAATAGATTAAAGCAAGAGAAGATTAACGCAAAAAAAGCTATAAAAAAATAAAAACAAACAAACAAAAACAGAACAAAAACAACAAAATAAGAGTAACGCTTCGTTTGTTTGGGCAGAAAATATTTTTTAAGAAATGTTTTCCATATTTTCTAGTGTATGGTACAATGAAAAACGAGAGTCAATAGAAAACAAAATTATTTAGACCGAAAACATTTTTCACTTTTGGAAAGCGAAAAACATTTTTTAGACAAAAATCTTACAAGTCACCACACTACCATCAACACTCTTACATCGACCACTACACTACCATCAGCACAACCACCATCACTGTCGCTATCATCGCTACTGCCTCCCCACCACCATGCCACCACCTCTACCTCCACCTCCACCTTCGTCCCACCACTATCACCACCAAACATAAAATATATATATATATATATATATATTTTTTTTTTCTTTAAAATATATTTTTTGAATTTTTTTATAATTTTTTTTTTGCATAAAAAACCAATAAGTTTATTTCATATTGTAGATTACCAACTGTCAATTTTTTCAATTTTTTACTAATTTTTGTGGCTCTTTCACTCACTACTGCAGTCTACAACATATAAGACTTTTGGTGACCAATTATTTTGGTCCCTAAATATTTTTTGTGACAAAACCAATGTTGTCACCAAAAAAGTCGCTAAAAGTCCATCCAGGAAAGTCAAAATTCACTTTCAGCGAAGAATTCTTAAAAGTGCCGCTGAAAATGACAATTAGCGACGAATTTTCTATCGTCACAAAATGTTTGATTTTGCAAAACTAAAATATTTCGTCGCTAATACTTCGTCACAAAATGTCTTCATTTTGTCGCAAAAAGCAAAATAGTGACCTTTTTAACAACAATTATATTTGGCCACTAAAGGTTAGAAATAACATTTTGAAAGCATTCAATTTCATAGCTACAAATTGACATCCACACCCCAAATATATTCTTGTATATAGAAAAAACAAGATCAAATCTTGCACACATGATCATCATCAGAAGTGTAAACAAGATCAAATCTATTTTTGTATATAGAAAAAAAAAACAAATTACAAAAATCAAAACTCTCAGTATTCAAATTCACTTCAACATAGTTCATTATATGAATTAAATCCCAAAACAAGATCAAAATAGTTCAACATTGTATGAGTTAGAACTTTATGACGATTTCAACTTTGTCTCTCTCTCGCACCACCTCTTCACAAGTTCAGTTACAAGAGCGACATGCCCTAAACAATTAGTTGTTCCACGACCACAAAAGCTTATCACCGTCTATAGTCATAGAGAAAGGAGGAAAATCCTACACACATGATCATCATTAGAAGTGTAAACAAAGTTCAAAATTGTAGAAGAGATGTAGATGAAATCCAAAAATGGATACCAACCTTGAAGAACTTAACCAAGGCATTTGAAGCAAATAAAAGCTCAAATTTTTGGGGCAAATTGAAAGAAAACTTTTTTTAAAAAAAATACTAACAATTTAGAGTTAGGCAAGGAAAAGTTGGGTATGAAGCACTACGATTTCTCATAAAACAACAGTAACTTAGTCATTAAGTTCCTTTTAGTAAAAATGACAACATATCTTCCCAATAAAGGATTTAACAGCAGAATAAACAAATAAATAAAAATTAACACCGCTGCACTAAAGCATTTTGTCCAATGACTTCAATGATGAAGGAAAAAGGTAAGGGAATTTATACTACCAGAAAATGAGGTGTTAGCCTCAGATAGAATACACATTCACACACATACACACACACACACACACACACACACACACAAGAGACTAAAACTTAAATATAAAGTTGTTCTTAAATGTTTCTAGAATATTTTGCATAGCTAAATAGAAAATCATGGGTAACATTGCACTGCAGTTTATATCTTTGAAAAAGAAAGCGTGTAGATTAAGACACCAAAAAGTTTCTGGACAAACTTGGTAAAGAAATGGTATAGGAATTGCAATTTATGGTTCTTTAACTCTTAATAGATGTCTCATCATTCTTGGTTATTCTTCTCATTTTCCTAATAGGAAGATTACTTATCTAAAAAGGAGAAAGATCAAACTACAATGAAACCTTATTAAATGAAAATAACACCCTATACTTCAGCTGAAAACAGGGAAGTTTTATAGCCATGCTTTCTTACAAATTAAATATATATGAAATATGCAAACCATGAGACAATTATAGATAAAAACCTGTGCCAACCTCCCCAACGCAAATGCTATAGCCACCACCACCACTATATCTATACTAAATTTAGAAATATGACAGATATCTATGTAGAGCAAAAGGTACTTACTATGATGATAAATCAGAAGCAAAACCTCCCCAACTCATCTGTTACAGCATCAAATCAATCTTGGCATTGACCTCCATGCTATTAGACTCTACGTTGTGCACTCTTGCATTCAGTTCCTCATTGATTCTCCGGTGCTCTTCAAGCTCCCTTCTAGTTTCCTCATTTTCTATCTCAAGACCAGCACGAGTACATTGACCAGATGTTGTTCTACTAGGCTTCGGACCACGTCCTAAACCACTTATGTAGCCAGACTTACGCCCATACACCTCAATGGAAAGCTGCTCATCAGATAGTGGGCCAGATCAATCTTCTATTGCTTCATTCTCCTGTTCTTTAAGTTTTTTCTACAGTTGTTCATCAAAAGAAATAAAGCTAATTGTCCATTATATATCTAGAATTTGTTTTCTTTATGTTCACTACTAATGCCTTAGGCAAGTAATCATTAACAAGAAAATACTTACATTTAACATTAGAAAATTCTTACATGTCTAATTTCAGCTTCATTGTGGACCCATGCTTGCCTTTTCTGACTAAAGTGTGTCTTGTGATACAAATCAACAAGTCCAAGCTCCTTTCCATCCTTGTCTTGTTGTCAAAACCTTTATATACATCACCAAATAAAAGAAATAAAAATTTTAAAAAAAAGTATAACATAATACATCACTTAAGTGCCATATAGACCCTATGATTTAAAGGCCAGTTGTTTACCTCATTGTGTTGCATCTTTCTAAATGCCTTTGAGCCAGCAGTATGGAGAACTTTAAGCTCAAATCGATTTTCCTTGTTTTTCTGACATTTTCTCCTGCATGAAGTGTAAAAATGTATTGAAAAGAAATCAAGTTCATGTGCCCAAATGCTTAGCAACAACTATAGCTACATGCATAGCAGTAGCTTCAGCCACAGCAGCAGCTATAGCATCATCACCAGCCCAAGTAGAAACAGCCTACTCAAGAGCTGCAGCCTCAGCACAAGTGTGTGCAACTACATTACAAGTGTGT